TTCAGGATAACATAAACCATCAGCGTAAACTGAAGGTTTTGAATTTCAATTTTTCAATTTAATAAAATTTGTATGCTGCCCAATCCCGTGGGACTCTGGGTGGCTTACAGAGCAAGATAAAAAAACATTTAAAATTTAAGAATAAAAATACAGTTGTTAAAATTACACACCATCCATTCTGTCTAGGTGGGGCTGGACATTGATCAACAACTCCAGGCCTGTTGGAACAGCCAGGTTTTGATGGCTTTTTGGAAGGCCGAGAGAGTGGAAAGGGTCCGGGTCTCTATGGGTAGGCCGTTCCACAGGGTCAGAGCAGCTACAGAGAAGGCCCTCCCCCGAGGGGCCGCCAGCCGGCATTGTCCGGCCGACGGCACCCGGAGGAGGCCCAACCTGTGAGATCTTGTTGGTCATTGGGAGGTATACAACTTATTGTCTAGCTACATGTATAAACAACCTTTGCTAGCCTGATGCCACCCAGATGGGTTGGGAGAATAGTTCCCAGCGTTCTCAGTGTATCAGTCTCTGTCTAGGAGAATTTGGAGAGCTTTGGGTCTAACATAGGAGTGTCAAACTGATGGCCCATGGGCAGGGCACACCCACCCCAGCTGGTCATGTGCAGGCTATGCCCACCCCGGCTCTGCAAATGGGAAAAACATCATGAAAATTACGTGATGGCACAAGTTTGACACCCATGGCTTAACACATCAGAAAGGTGCCAGGTTGGGGGAAGCTGACTTAGGGACTGACCATTCCAGGCAGAGAGCAGCAGAACTGTCACCATTACTTGTATTCTTGAGTTGTAACTTAGAACAATCCAGCATCCCAATAAAATGCTTCCAGCCCTATGGGGATTCAACTTTGCAACGAAGAGACGGAGCTTTCCCATTGCAAACAGACAATATTTACAAGGCATTATGACCCGAAATTCTCAGTTTATCCTAGTTTCCTTATGCCTGAATCGCTAAAGCAAACCTGTGAGAGTGAGCGAAGCAGTTGTAGCAGTGAAAGCCACGCTCTCTTTGCTAAGAGAGGTTTCAGTAAAATTAACAGCCTGAGAAACAGGAGGAGTCACTGTTTCGCTGGTTGGAGAACCAGGCTTTGCTTCGAAGGTGCTTGCAGGTGAGAATGGAGTGGTGCGTGAAGGTGTCAATGAAAAGCCAGGAGTTGTTTTTCCTACGGAGGGCAGATAAGGAAAAAAAATTAATTTAAAAAATCCCCCAAATTGATTTGGCTCACTCAGAAATGTATGAAACATAGTACAGGTAGTCCTCAATTTACAATTTAATTTAATTTAATTATCAAAATTTATATCCCGAAGAACTCTGGACGGTTTCCAAAAAAAAGAAGAAAAAGAAAGAGAAAAAAAGACCGTTTAAAATCACAAAACCACATGCATTCATTCTAATCGGGGCTGGACCTCAACAGTGAGGTCAACAGCCCCAGGCCTGCCGGAACAGCCAGGTTTTTACAGCTTTCCTGAAGGCCATGAGAGTGGGTATGATCCGGATCTCTGAGGGTAGCTGGTTCCAAAGAGTCGGAGCAGCCACAGAGAAGGCTCTCCTCCGGGGGCCCGCCAGTGATGGCTAACCCTT